CTCTCTCTCTCCCTCTTCATCTCTCCCTCTCCCTGTTTCTCTCTCTCTCTCTCTTGCAGTTTTAAAATTTACTGTACCGAGACTTGGAGCTGGCAGAGGGGCCTGTGAACTTCAGCACAACTATCAACATCGATGTTCAAGATAGTACAGTTATGTCCATTCCAAGTTGTAAATGCTAGTCTTTTTTCCAATAAAAGACCATTAACTTAAAGGTGGTGTTACATGCTTTGTAAAAGCCGAAAAGATTTATCTCTATACGATTTGAGAGATTAAACCAAAAAGGAAAAAAAAAGAAAAAAAAAGGTAAGGCGGCAGTACGAAAGAAAAATGTGTTCTGTGAATGACTTGCTGCTAAATTATAATGCACATGTATGCAATAACTTAACCTGTTTAATGTTTCTTCAAGATGGCAAGAACTGACCTCTTGTAACCCAAGACCTTTGCTATAAATAAATGAACTTGTGCTTGCCTTTCATCTTTATGACAATCTTAATTCGCTGGCTTGTTTGATTCTGACTCATCCGGAGTCTGTAGGGAAGTGGCACCATTTTTTATTCCTGGTTTGTGGTAGCTGTAATGCTAGAACTGACATTTATTAGTCTCTAGTCTAGTCTACTGAGGAGCTGCATATTGGCAAGATGTCCAACTTTATTAAAAAGGAAGGAAAAATTCAGCAACAAAGTGGGCGTCCAATGAAAGAGACCTAGAGTCAAGCACATATTCAAATGAAAGAGGTTTAAGCATTCAGGTTCAGCTTTGGTCCATGCATTGCTTTATAAGGCAGAATCCTAACTATATCTCCTTTAACAGCTCATAATGGTTTCATTCACAGACTACAATGAGGGTTGCAAATTCTGAAACTAAGCTTTGTTCAAAAAAGACTTGGCTCTTTGTGTTACGCACCAAAGCAGAGGATAGAGAACCTAAGGGATTTGGAGCTTGTTTGCTAATGTTTCTTTAGTTTATACATTGGCAATTGGATGCCCTCCAGAGATTTTGGACTTAATTCTCAATAACACCAACCAGAATGATCAATGGCAAGGATTGTCCAAAATATGGAAGGTAGGCTGTCTGTCTGCAGCAAAATGCAGTAATGTGAATAAGGGATATGCATGGAACTGTGAAACCACTTAGATTAAGAGTGAGAAGAATCTTTAGAATAAAAAATCTTATCATTTTGTTTTGAAAATTCTGTAACCCTTTCAAAAAGTATTTAAAAGAAAGTCCATACATCTCAGCTGGAAATTCCATGCCATTATTTGATCAGACAACCCAAAGAAATGAGATCAAATGATGAAAAATTAATAGCTTGTTGTAGTGGACAAGTATCTGAATGCTTGTATGTTTGCAAATGAGCATTCTGTAGTGCAATTTTTCTGCATCCATGGATTTTTAAAGAAGGTCTAGGTAGCATCAAGGTTTAATCAAGCGGTCTTTGCCGTGCTGCTGTATTTGCATTTTCTTTTAAAATGCAAAAGCATCGGAGGAGCAAAATCCAATAGGAATACAGTTTTTCAGTTTCTATTTTCAGCGAGAGGAAAAGACACTACAGAAACAAAGGGTTTAGGAAGATAAATTATTGGACTTGTTCTTTGTTGTCAGGCTGAAGATGAAACAACAAGAGAAAAGGGGAGTAGATTTTCCTGTTTATAATACTAGAATTGTAACTCCAATGTAGCCATAATTATTTGGCCCCAATTCCCTTTCTTCTATAAGCGTGGAGGTAAAAATTGAGATTGACTCCTTGGAGATAATTATGCAGTTTCCTTAGCAACATTAAGGAAGTCAGTTGCTACTGGCACCATTTGAGATGTTTTTTCACTTCTCAGTCTAACCGAGAGGCCTGATATTCTCTAATGGGACTTCCATAGCCCCAACCCTCTACTTGGTAGCTTAGCAAGGTAAACCAAGTGCTGCCACAATACAGCACCCTTGGAAAGTAATTCAAGATTAATATGATGCAGAAATATGTGTTTCAAAAGGAAAATGGGAATGGATAAATATGAAGATGTAGCTCGGTTATATCAGATTTGTGTGAATAGAAGATTGGGGTTGGGTTTCTACTTATAAAATCTCTATTTCATACTACTGGGGGCATGAACAATATTCTGTTGGATTTACATCCCACATTAAATTGCGGTGGTGCAATTCTTTGCAAGGCTAAGATGCCAATTTCCCCCCTCCCTCAAATCTTAAAAAATCCCACCCACCCCCCCTCCCAAAACCTGCAATATTGCTTTGAAGCATCATACCAACTCACTTGAGGATGTCCAGGAAGATTCTTGATGCTGCAACCCTAATCCTAATCAGTTATTTCTTTTCTTTTTAAAAATGTAAAAGATTTACAACTTTTTGGGCTAAAGACAGCTACATGTATGTATTTTATCCCTCTTTTCCATTAGGCGTGCATTTTTAAAAGCAAGGCATTGTACTACAGCAATTCACCTCTAGTTTATGCATAGTCATGATATCAAAGGGACTCAGTATCCATATAAGTAACAATGGCAAAGCAGCCAGCTCTGAGCAGGATCTTCATCTCAAAGAAGAAAAACCAAAAACCGGCCATGCGCTGTAGCTCGTTTCTGCTTGTTGTATTTTTCGGTCTGCTTTTGTTCTTCAAAAGAGATGTTCTTTCCATGTTTCCAGCGATGTTGAAATAATTAAATTGCAGATCTCTCCTACTCTTGCCACCCAGTCACACTTGGCAGGAAAGAATCCAGAACATTTCATTCCACGAGGAACAGCAAAATAGCAAGGCTGGTGTTACAGGAGATAGTGACAGACCCTTTTTAATAACATTCCTGTTGACATTTTAAAACAAGAATGCAGGTGTCCCTGGGGGGGAAGAGCTGAGTAGAATACTCAAAAAGAGCTTCAGAACAGTGGCCCTTATGAATGATTCAACTGACTTGATGGAAAACAACAGACCATGAGAAACTACCCACTTTCACCAGAGCTGTCCACTATGCTACACAATTTAACAACCCCCCCTTTATCCATCTACTTAACTTTTCATACTATATCTTTTTAGATTGTATTCCTATCTAGCTTCACAATTTTGGACTAGGAGTGAGGAATTCAAATTCTAAACATTCTGGTGGCCATTTCCCAGAACCTGACATCAGTATTGGCCTTTTTAGACTTGATGGCAGAGTTTTAACAAAGTCCTCACACATCTGTCTGCTTTTATTTCTCCCTACAATCTTGTTCCTTCTTATGGTACTCCAGGCAAGGCTTGCCTTTTGCTTCATCCAGCAAGGGTGGCAAAGTCCAGGTTATGGAATCAATTCCCACCCTCCGTAGAAATTTGATGGCTTTCAAAGGGCTTTATTCCAAAATAAAAAGCCTTTTTATTTAAAGAGCAAGTCTGGTTGCATTGTGTTCCTATTTAACCGATAGTTCTAATTTATTTAAAATTAAATATTCTAAATATTAATATTTGTAATAAATATTATACACATTTGGTCCTTGCCACTGATAATTATAATTATTGTGTTGGTTGTTTTAGTATTGTTTTCTGGATGTTGAGTTGATTTTATTGGGTTTATTTGTAATAATAAAAATAATAATTTATTAAATTTGTAAGGCACCTGATTCACATTGACTCGGGGTGGCTCACAACAATCAAAGAGAAATTACAATCGAATCAATACAAAAAGATAAAAAGAGAGTAAGCCTCATGAGGCAAGGGGTCTCCCTCTACTTTGATAAAGGCCTGGATGAAAAGTTGAGTCTTCAAAGCTCTTCTAAACCTCAGAGTGAAGTGCTATCTGGACATCTTGAAGAACTTTGATCCAGAGGGCCCAGACTGCTCCAGAGAAAGGTGTATTTCCTTGGTCCATTTTAAACGAAGAAACCGGGAGTATATCAATCGCGCAAGATTGAATAGCAATACAGATACTGTGGGAGACAAGCAGTACCTCCGGCAACCCTTGTATTATTGTTTTTTGTTTTGTACTGTACTGCAGTTTGGTTAAGAAAGATTATGGTTTCAGATGGAGTCAACTTCAACCATTGGATAACTTTGGACAAGTCCTTATTTCTCAATAG